ATCACACCAAATTTTGTGCAAAACAATAGGATAAATGTGAAAAAACATGAAAATCAAAAAAAAAATCTTTATTATATATGTTAGAAAAAAAGAAAGTTATGTACGAAGTCGCCATTTTGAAGTTTTGGGTTAATATTTTATATATAAAATTACTTATGTCAATTGTTTTTTTATAGTTTTTTAAATAAATAAAATCTTTTAAAGAATATAAAACGTTATATGTGATGAGTTGTTGGGTGTTTTTATATTGGTGAAGTTTGCCATTTTGTTGGAACAGATCATAAAGGAACAACTTCACATATAGTAGTAAATGAGTTCTTTGTTTTTCATATGTTGGATTTGTGACAAAGCCGCCATTTTGAATAATAATAAATTTACTATGAAATTAGCCCCTATGATTTTATAAAAAAATCCCCTGGTTGATAGATGATCTGCGAATTAAATTTTTGTGTTCCCTCCTGTTAATTTTTGTCAAAAATTCCATATCATAATTAATACCTTTTTCAACTCAAATTTTTTTCAACTTGATTTTTTTTTAATTTGATTTTATTATGAATTAAAATGGTCAATAATGGTTGTTTATGGATGCTGAAGAGTCAATAATCAAAAACAACAATGATAGTGATGAAATTAGAAATGGCAGTGGTAGTGATTGTAAAACTAGTAGTGCACCAAATGACCAATGGCTCAGTGAGTTTATGTGGTTGCTATTCAAAAAAAAAACAATAAAGTCTTCATGTATTGTTGTGCAAAACAAAACAACATTTTTACAAGGAGAACTACCAATTACAAAAAAGAAGTGCTTGTTCAGCATGTTAAAATTGATGATCACAGGCATGCTTTATCAGAAAATGTTAAAATTGATGATATTTTCAAATACAAACCATTATCACCTTCATTACCTGAATCCCCTCTGCAACCTGAGACTCTTTTGTGTGAGGAAGATACCTATATTAGACATGAAGAATCACAAATTTAAACAAAACGATAAAACCTGTAGTGGTAGCATCCTTAAATGAGAGGTATTAATAATTGAATCAATTTAACACTAATTTTTTTATAAAGTAACATATGGTATAAAAGAAAAAAGGAATTGGATGTTTATGTCAATCAGCATAATTTAAGATCAATTACAATAAGTGGAAGATACAAAAACATTTTTTTAAATCAATATAAATATTTTGAATAATAGTATCAACCAAGAAGAAGCAGCAAGAATCAAAATTGACAGTGGAATTGTTGAAATCAATTAATTATTCAATAATTAAAATGTCTAATATATTGCATTTATTCATATAACACTTTTGTTATATTCATTATATTCTTCAGTTTAAATAGTTTAAATATGCTTATCAGATTGTAATATTTATAAACCCATTTAATTCCCAATTTAAATAAAAATATGCCATGTAAATATATATGAAATCATCATACATTTATTTAGTCATTTCTTTCTGACATCTGATTGTTATTATCTATATCTACCATACAGAATAGAACAAAAAAAATTCAATATTCATATTACAGTATTACAGTGCAAGTCACTTAGTTCCACAACTTTTTATTGGTCATGTAGATTTTCAAATTCTCCAAAAATAGAAATGCAACACCCCAAAAATAAATCATGTATTTGAAGCCAAGACCTTCCTCTACAAAATCACGATTTCATTTCATGTTGTTGTGGAGGATTTGAGCTTTAAAGTTGCACAAAGTTTACTGAATTTATTATTCTTGGCCCTAAAATGGCCAGTTGCACACAAAAAAGTTAATATCAAAAATATACATGATCAAATTGGCACCAGACCATTTTACCTTCTAATTTAATAAATATATAAAGCAGATAATATTTTTGTAAAATTCATGTTTCTCAATGTCTACATCAAAAATATAATTAATTAGTATATAGATCATTAAAATTAAAATAATTATATTTAATACCTGGATTTGATCAAAATCCTTTCTTGAGGTCATCTAATACATTTTTTTGACTATCCAATATTACAAAATTTGAAATATGATTTGCAATATCCTTCCAATTGATTTGAAAAATTCTCTAAATATATGTAATAAATATTTGAGTTCTTAATGGGAATGGATTATACTTGTCATCAGAATTCCCAAACAGAAATAATATGGTTATGGCATGTGCTGTATTATTTGCCATAAATAACGTAAACCATAAAACCATAAAACCGTAAAACTGTAAAACCATAAATACCGTAATAGTAAATACCAGAAAATAAAAGACATGTGTAATAGTAATGGTGTCATGTCTATATATTAATATGCAACATGGTTTATTTATTATTTATCATTATTTTTACAACAATTAAAAATTCAAAT